CTGCTGTATTAATGAAAGAATGGTAAATGGTTATCACACAGAATACTATTAATGTTAATTACTTACCACTAGTGACAGGTATTTCACTTTGACTTTCCCTTATATTACAATCCTCTATCATCATGGTAGATGAAACTGTAGACGAAACTGTAGTTGTTGAAGTATACATTAACAGAAATGATGAACTATAGCTGATGGGATCAGAAGTAGATCCTAATGTGTCTTTATGTGAACTTAAGTAGCTTGTCAGCATAGTGCTAGAGACTAAAGCAGGAATAACAATACCAGTTATTACAGCAGCAGGATTAGTAGTACAGTCCTCCATTGATTCACATGCATACAGTGTTAAGTTATTACCAGCTGGTATGTTAGTAATACACTGAGTAAAGTTCAACTGATCATTACGAGATATATTGTAATACACTGGTAGATGAACTGGCTCTTCATAATTAGTGATGTGAATATAAATGCTATTAGTTGTACTCCCATTAACAAACTCAAACTGAAGACAAACTTTGTTAAATGTAATATTAACCACTGCTATGTGCTGAAGATCATAAGTACCTTGATAATAATAAAGCACTAAACATTAAGTATGATATGTCACTTACTGATTGTTATAGTGTTGTTTTGAAATATAGCTCCATTTTTATAGTATAAAATAATATTAGTATTGAGTATCTCTCTTGATGGAAGATTTATAATAACAGCAAGTGAAATGTTATTATAAGAACTACTACTAGTGGATACATTTGTTGATGAATAACAAGTACTACTGGAGCTACCAACAGTACAACCAGTTACTGTTATGTTAACAACTGACACTCCAGTACACAACTGATCAGCCTACAATAAATGAAACAGGTGTTGTATGTGTGGGGAGTAACTAACTGATAGTAGGTAATGTAAACGCCAATTATTGTTCATATGGTATGTCAAATGTTCTTGATAAATGCTCTGGAAATTTAAACCTATTCAGAAACAAAAATTGATCGTAATTATTTATTTATAATTTTTACTTAATTGAAATCCAACAGTTATGTTACTAGTAGATCCATTCCCAGCTTTATTAGTAGTTGTAATGTTAAACAGATATTGTTTATTGGTTGGGTTCATTGGACAGTAAGTGTAGTTAGTGATAGAGTCATTAAGGTACCGTTGATCAGTTCCTACACTGATTATATACTGTACTGTTAGTCCTGGTAGTGTGAATGGAGGATACCAACTGATAAACATACAACAAGAATCTAACTGATATCCTGTTAAATTACTGACACTATCAGGTGAACCTGGAAATGAAATAGAAAGTGATGAGCTTATTGGCTGAGAGAATTAAAACAACAAAACTTTTTGAGATGAACAGGGCAAGAAACAACTCTGTGCATTGAAATGTAGGAATTTATTAAAACCAGTACCTCCCACTCAAATTCGTCTATTGTTTTCTTAACACCACAAATAACCAATATTGTACATGTCTACATCAATTATGCATGTTTCTTGCCACTCAAAATGGTGTTGCCTTGCCCATCACTCAAATGTTGAAATAACAAAATTGACTAAGTACAGCTACTTGATTAATATATCACCTTGTACATATAAATATGCTGATTCAGTGGTAGCTCCAACATCAGGAGCTTGGCAAGTAAAAGATGTACCATTTACTTGACTTATTGCTATTAGGTTGAATGATATTTTTTTACCATTAGGTAGTAATATTGTTGATTTTGAACCTGTAACTGTTGGATTAGTCACGAAAAAGAAATTCAATTGAGTCAAGTTGGTAGCACATTCAAATGTCACAGTATCATTGACATATACATATTGTGTCACTGGTACAATAGTGAATATGCTTGCACCTAAAATTTATAATAATATTTGATGTTATCACAATAAAACTTACAAGACATGTAAATTTAGGAGATCATAATTACAGCAACAAGCAGAAAAGCAGCCATGATCATGGAGGTGTGACCCTGTGTGAATTGAAGGTGTGGTGTAATGCAATTTTTAAATAAAAGACCACAGTCTAAAATCTTTTTTGACATCATTATGAAATATATCTTATATAACATACTAAAACCGGTCTATATACAAAAGATATAGACCTTCAGTGGGTGGACACCCACCTCAGGTCTATATTTTTGTGCAGACCTGTTTAGTATGATATATAATACCAGGAGCCCATGAGCTCCTGATAATACACATATATGTATGCTCTTCCACCATTGTTGCTTCATCAGTCTAGTAGT